CACTCAATTTATGACAATTTTGAGCCTAGTATTCAGGTTGTAAGTTGTGGTTGTAAATTCAGGCATCATGTGATTGGATTCAAATTGATGACTACTTTTTTAAAATACAGATAAAGTGAGCATGACAGTCATTAAGTGAATCCTTTTTCCCCAATGGGAATTTTTTGTTGGAAGCAGGAAGTAAATGCTGGAAACTGGCAAAAAAATCGCAAGTCATGATGACGTGACCACAGGATGCTGCAAATGGCTGTAAAGATGAGCCAGTTGCGAAGCAACTATGTGACAGTGGGAGGATATGTTTTCAGAGGTCATAAGAAAGTGTCTGGAGATATCCATCGTAACTATTTGTCATCATAGTCATCAACTGTACCAGCTGTACATTGAGGTCTATCTGTAAAACATTCAAAGATCATTCAAAATACTTGATATACAGACATATGATTAAAAGACCACATATGGTCTTTAAAAACATTCATATATGGTGTCACTTACTGGCATCTCATTTATCATTTCATTTGATGCTTTTGTAATATTAGCACACTGTGCCAGACTAATGTAGTTTGATATTCTTATAATTTCCAGCCTTGCCTTGCTGTGAGAAAGTTATGGAAGATATGGCCTAACATATTTGAAGGCATAAAGCCTAAGTCGGTGGCTCATTTAAGTATTAAAATTCACAGATTTTCCTACAAAGAAGTGGGGAATCTGTGTCCCACCCTGCCAGTTAAGTGTTCAACTTAATAACCCTAGTCATTGGTGGGGGGGGGTAACTGTAAAGAACAGTAGAGATTGTAATTAGAGATAGTAACTAGTAACAGTATTCAGCTGCATCTTTAACAACATTGTCCCCAATTTGTGCTACATTTTATAGTGTTTCTTTTATGAATTTCCCTGTAAAATTAACTCCTTGCAAAAGCCAAGTGCCACAAATATATTAATTTTAACTGGAAAGGATAGCTTCCGAATATTTCATTTGCTTAATTCCCAAACAGAATTATTATTAAGTCAATTATGTTTTCAATAATTAACATATTTTGCATAATCTGTCATAATATTTGTACTGCCAAGCTTCTACTGTGAATTCAGCTCAGTTTCTTGGGGGTGGGGGCACCGAATGGCATTTGGGAGTTTTCAACCTTAGGTGAACCCTAAAGTAGATGTGTCAAAACAAACTTAGAGAAGCAGTTCCAAAATGGAGTGATAATATTCATGCAAAATGTGCCGAATCCAAATATATCAGAAGATGGATGACATATTTTGAGTTCAAAATGAATTTGAAATTGGGCAATCATATGTGAGACCCACCTCCCAAATTCAGCTGCAAGCCAAAGACATCCTTGCCTTGTGGTGTTCCAGATATCTGTATGAGTGTCCAGACCAAATACAATACATGGCTAATAAGAAAACCTTGGTTAGTCATCTCATTAAAGCATGTGGTGAGTTTAATTGCTGTCTTAATGAAACTTAATGAAACTCCCAAGAATCTTTGCAGGATAAATTCAAATGACAGTTCTTACTATTTTGCTTTTATATTTAGAAACCTCACAAAAGAGAAAAGATTAAGCAAAATTTTAATGAAGGGAATTGAATTATGGAGAAAGGATACAAAGAAGTCTTTAATGTAACCATTTTATGGGCATTTTTTTTTTTTTACCACAGGTGATTTAAAAATAATTATGGTCTCTAAGATCTAAAAGAGCATTGAAAACATTCAGTGATGGTCCTGCAGGGAGGTAAAATATTTTGCTCAGAATAGAAATCCCATCATTTTGGGATAAGGTCTCAAACAGAGGCTCAAACCTTGTGGAACCTTAATGTTCAAATTTTCTCTAATAAAAAATGTACCAATTTGCCATTTTAATAGCAAAATTCACACGTGAATCACAGGGAATATTATCAATACAAGATATATTTCTTGAAAATCAGAATGACTGCATTCTGCATTATTCTCCCTTACTAAATCCAAAAATCTAATCATCAAACTGAGCAACAGGATTTCAAAAGTAACAGGCTTGGTTTGCTGCTTACTAAAATTAATATAAATTACCTTGTATATTACTAACCTCAAATTATGAAATCCAGAATCTAAAATTTTCTAATACCATTAGGTTACTTCAGAAAAAACATACTGAGTTATTAAGGAGAGTTTTGGCCAGTGCATATGAAACCTAACTATAGAAGAGTCCCTTGCTTTAGGCACAAGTCTTTGGTAGGAAAATTGCTTTGTCCAGTACTGATTTTTCTGCCAAGAAGTTATCTTTTTGGAATCACAGATGAATACAACCAACATTAACTATTGTAATTTTTAATGATTGTGCTATCAAGCCATTTTTATCTCTTGCCGACCACATACATAGATTTTCTCTAAGATGATCTATTGCTAACCTGGTCTTTCAACTCTCCCAACAGCCTATTCTTGCCATTGTAACTGTTGCTGTTGGCCATCCTCTTCTCTTTCTTTCTATCTTTCTATCTTTTCAAGTATTAGAGCCTTTTCCAAAGATTTTTTTTAAAAAAAATTATAAATAAATAATGGAGTTCTCTCCATTACTACTGAGCTATTCTTTCTCAGGGTGAAAGGCCAGCTTAAGTAAGAATTCCAGTCAAACCATGTCTTTATTACTGAGTTTTATGGGACCTTATTATCAGAACAGAAACAAAAATCAAACCATTTACTAATAGTTTAAAATAGAATAGAGAATAAAGTGTGGAATCAGTTGGCCATTGGGTTTTCAAAAAAGGGGGGAAATCTAATAATTTTTAAAAGACTTAACAATACAGGTGGAAGAGGGCATCAAGTTCCATCTTCTTTTTAAGCTGTTGTTTGTAAATGACTGTAAATTATTGTAGCAAAATGTTTTCTTTTTCTGATTAAGAATTAAGCCTGCTGAGGGAAAAATAATGGTTAAATCAAATTGTCTGCAGTTGTTTGTGTGTGTGGCAACAATAAAGGCCCATTTTGCTTTGTAGAATTTGTTTTTATAAAGAGGTTATTACAATGACCACTTGTAAGAGATACACACCACTCTCTCTCTCTCTCTCTCTCTCTCTCACACACACACAGAGAGAGAGAGAGAGAGAGAGAGAGAGAAACTTATATAAAATAGAATTTTCTCTCTCATTTGCCCATCTATCTTTTCATCTTCATGCTTTCTTCCAATTATTTCAGGACCTTCTTGTGGTTTCCTGAACAAAATTATATCCTGAGGTCTAGCATTTACCATAGACAAGGGATCATTTTAAAAAATCAACAATAGAAAATAATAAGGTTTATATGTGCATTAAACAGTACACAAGCCAGGAAGATATTAGTAAGTGGCACTTAATTAGGGTATCTTTAGTTTCTAATCATATTTTCAAAACTAAAAGATCTTCCGTTGACATCATTTTCAGAACTGGATGCACAGGTTGCAAGATAAAACTACTTCATATAGAGTCAAACTGTTCTCTTGATCTAAAAATCAAACTAGCCCATAGCTTAGTTACAGATTTCAAGAGATCATTGGCAAAAATGTTTTGTAATAGAAGCAATATGAAATAAAATCTACTTCCAAGAGAAGTGATGCTTCTCCCCCCCCCCCACTAAAAGTCTTCAGAAAAAAATTGGACAATAAACCTATGGTTCATACTTTCTCAATTTCATGTACTAAACAAAAATTTGGACCTTCCAACATTACAATTTCCTAGAAAGGTACAACTATAATGCCAACTGGGGCAGTCAAGAAGCAATTTCCCAACAGTACTTGTTCTGCTTCTTTCAAAAACCAACTTTCCAAAGAGTGATAAAACCTGAGTTTATAATGAGTACATACAAGACAAGAGTAGTGTTATTGAAAAGACCTGGGGAAATGTCTCTGCAGAAGTTTCTCCTGTAAATGGTCATAATGCACACTGCTTATGACTAAGTTCATCATGCTGAATATATATACAGTAGTGGCCAAAATTGTGGAAACCTTTTGGGAAAAGTGTATTTTTGAGGTTTGATGGCTAATAACACCACTTTTTTGGGAAGAGTAGTACCATAAAATTATATATCAATGGAAAGATAATTTAATCAAGAATGTAATACAACAAAATTTGTTCAGTTATCTGTACTGTATTCTATGAAAGGTTACAGCCAAATAACCAGAAAAAGGAAGCACAACTTGCTTAGGTTGATATCAGGTAGCTTTCGTTCATCTGATTGTAGCCAATGAGCATGAGTGTTTAGAGAGCCAATCAGGTGTCATCTTGTTTTGGCAATGGACCAATCAGATCACAGTAGGATTCAGTTATTGATGTCATGTATTGAAACTGAGAGGAGGATATTTGTCAGTGTGTTATGTGATCGCTATCAAGTTGGTTGGGTTTTTTGTGTTCTTTCATTTAGTGAGCTTGTAAAACATAATAAAATTAAAGTAATGGTCAAAGAGTTGATTGATCGCTCAGAAAGTGATGTAAAATAGTATTATTAAGTGAACAAGGCTACAGTTTTAAAGAAATTAGAAGAAAAAATGGTGGAAACTTAACCAAAGGTGGCATTTCTACTGTACACTTTTCCCAAAAGGTTTCCACAATTTTGGCCACTGCTGTACTTTATAGCATAAATATTCATAGATATTCCAGATAAACTGATGGTCACAATATAGCAAGGAACTGCCAAATCTCTGAGCGTATAAATCAGAAAGCATTAGCTGGAGTATTAGCTGCTGTTCCAGCAAAAGCCTGCGAGCAACTAACAAAAGGCCTGATTTTTCCATAGCTCCATTTCTATTGAGTACTGACTGTGTTTGTTAGAAGACCATGGCATTATTCCCATACTCTACTGAAGTGAGAAAGTTGTAGAAAGGGATGTTAAAGGTTTGACCTATATGAACAAACATGAAAAGGTCTGACCTGTATCTTGTTGGATCCTGAGCCACTCTTGGTGCGATATGAAACCCAATCCAAGACACAATATAACACTTCAAGATACAACTCTCAGATATGACCATTTTTTGGCTCACTGAATCTCCAAAACAGATTTATTCTTATGTAACATACTTTTTCATGTTATGCTTAACATACTTATTCTTCAGCTCTATCTGGCAGAAAAATATGTTCTTCTTGGGAGTAGCCTCCAATCTATCTCAAAAAACATCTTCCAGATGATGGGTGAGAAAACATCCACTGATTCTCGGCAAGCAGTCAAGTTCAAAGAGGGTTACTGTTCAACTGTTCTATAAGCATACTCTCAGTTATTGTGTATTTTTATCTCCCAAAGTACTGGTCCACAAGTTCCATGTTAGAGAGCCTGCAAAATTTCAATGTGAAAAAACAAAGTAATGTTTGAGTTATAGAAGTGTGGAGGAACATCTGAAAGTAGTAACTTCCTCCTTCCACCCCCTCATGTTGTTTGCTTTCTTGTATTCCTATAATTTAAAAATAGACCCACACACATTCAACTAAATGGGTTACTCTTCTCAAAACATTTTGAAAATAAATATATAGTCAGGATAAATGCTTCTGTTCAAAGCATCAACCACAGAACACATTTGTACAAGAGTGCCACAATTCATTCCTCCAAATAGACAGTTGTAGAAAAAACTCAAAATAAGGAACACATTTTATCATGATGCATAGCATTTCTGAGGCCTCTTCTGCATACACTGTTTGCACTGGTCTGGGATTGGTGCCATGACCCAGCATTCTCATGATACTGGACCTTGTTAGCTGCTCTTGTGCAGCTGAGCCAATAAACTTCTGGCTCAACTTTAGGGCAGGATCAAACCATGTGAAGAAAAATTTGCAGAATTAATGCAGAAATTGTGAGATAGGTGTTTCCTTGGTTTTGGTTACCTCTTAGATTCTCAGTGCCCCTTTGCATTCCCTGCCATTTCCCCCTCTTCCCTTTCTGAAAAATCATATAGAACAATATATGGACAGAGAAACATGCAATAAGGTAATGCTAATTAATGCCCCCCTTCACCAATTGATCAGTTAGATGGAACTTATTGGAAGTACCAAGTATTTCAAAGAAGACAAGAGGGAAGATATGTTTTCTGAGACTTGAAATGTAAAACTAGTGGCTATCTTGAAGAACTTTATAGATTTGCACCTGAACCGAGGACCATACAGGTAAAATTCCATACTTTATCTATTTAAGGGCAGGAGGTCAAGCCTGTAATCCCTGATTTGTGGAGTCCTACAAGGGTTAGCACTCTCCCCATTCTTGTTTAATGACCACACCCTTTGGCTTCATGCATTCAGATCATTCAGCAACATGAATGAGGTATCATCAGCTTTATATCTCCACCCCAGCCAATCAAGCAATGTCCCAGAGGATGTGTCTATTTGGAGGGTGTCAGCCCCCCAGAGAAGGAAATATTAAAAGGGCAGAAAAATATATTTCCTCAGAAGGATTTTAAAAGCAGAAACCAATACTGCCCTCAAGTCTTTCTGTCCCAAGCAGAAGCCAGCTCTGTACAAATGTAGAGTAAACCATCAGAAAGGCCCCAGCTAGGAGATCAAGAAGACAAAGACACCTAAAATCTGCATACCTCATCCAAATTCTAAGAGTCATTAGCCCCAGCACCAGGGAAGTAGGATATGACCTTTGGGACATATCTACCACCATCAAGAATAAGCAGAAGGGCACATACAGACTCAGGTCAGAATACACACAGGAAATACAAAAGCCTAAAACAGGAACAGGAAACTACTCCAAACAAAAGGCTTCAGAGGGTATAAAATCTTACTTCCCCACATGTGCTCAGCCCTTTTTCTCTCCTCTTTACTGCCAGTACCATCTTTCCGTCTGGCTCTTCAATAAACTGCAACCTTCTTTCTAAAGCAGTCACCATGTTGTTTATCCCTGGTTTGGATGAACCAGGATGAAGATTTTTCTTTAAAAGAGGGTATGGGATATTACTTGAACACTTTCTATAAATAGATTGTAACAAAAGATCTTCAGAGTACAAAGCTCTTCATTTGTATAAACCTAAAGTTACTTATGCTTGACTTCATACATCATGCTAAGCTATGAGGAGGATTTCTTATTCATTTTGACTCAAAAGTTATGTGATAAGTTTATAAGTCATGGTTTATGGCTTAGAACAACAATTCCAATTAATATATAGTTTATCCAACATGGTCTATGTAACCATGGCTTAGCATGTTACACAAATGTGGCCAGCTGCTAACCCTAAAATAACCCCAAAGATCTCCATATAAGTATTGTGCATGTCCTGAAAATTTGTAGAAAGAAATAATCTCAAATCAAAGGATTAAACACCAACTTCTCAGGCATGCCTTCAGAGTTTTAGAAAGGTTCGTCAATTTGTTCTCATTATCCACCTTTAATAAGCTGACTTTTTCAAATGTTGTGGACTTTTAACATGTATCACTGAATAATACCTGCTTCCAGAAAGAATATTATCTTCCTTTATCATCTATAGTTTTTTTTCATCAATCCTGTAAGCAAAATTAGATAACTAAGTTTGAATCTTTTTCAAATTGGTTTCCCATTTTTGGCCTGTGGCTCTTTATTTTCTAGAAAATGGAAAGCACAGTAATAGAAGCAAATCCTTAATCAGAGATTAAAACTAATAATTTTTGATGTTCTCATCACAGCAGAAAAGCTAGCATTCTTGCAATGTATTTCAGCCTTCACATTTATTAATAGTTTCTTATTGAATTAAGTGTTTAAGTATCAGAAATTTGCCTCACAGAAACTTAAAAATATTTTCTGGCTTTAGTGTTAATTTTTTTCTGGGCAAACTGATGATTCAATAGAGCCATTTTTAATTTAGTTAAATTAAAGTTTTTAATTTAGGTCAATCTGTGTCATTAAATGATTAAATATCATTTAAACCCAGAAAGAATCAACCTGCAATTTGGTTGTGACCACAACCAGCCACTCAACTGTTTGAACAGGCAAGAGTACAATTAACCCTATCAGTACTGAGCAACAGCTCAATCTCAGAAGGACATTTTAAAACTATAATAACACAAACTCCTATATATCTCATCTAGGCTTCTTCTGAAAATGCAGTCATATTTGCTTATGAAGTTTATTTAGCACTGGGCTGTGAAATCCATTTTAAACATTTGTTTACTAGGTTGTTGTTGTTGTTATGGATCATCGCACAGTCAGCCAGATGTTCAGACTGGATTTGATCTACCTATCAAGTCTTTACCCAGGACCTGGGATAAGCAGATGTGGATGTTTGAAGGTATTACAGATATCGTCGCATGATGGAAGCAGTTCCTAGTAAGGCTGCCTTTTGCAATTGACTAATAGCGAATTTGTCAATGCCAACGGTGTTCAAGTGGTGCTGTAGTAGTAGTAGTAGTAGTAGTAGTAGTAGTAGTAGTAGTAGTGGTGGTGGTGGTGGTTGTTATATACTCCACTAGATTTGGACTATTGCCCTTGTCATCTCCTGATTAGGAGATACAATGGGTACTGGCGTTTGAGCATTACTTGCATAGCAGAGATTACCAATAAAGGAGAATATTTGTAGTTTAGGGTTGAAATGAGGGGTCCTTGGTGCTCTCTGAGCTTGCTTGTTTTCTTGCAGATGTTTCATTACCAAACTAGGTAACATCATCAATGCTAGTAAGGAGTGCTCTTTGCTGTCAGTTTATATTCTGGTAGCTTCTCTGTCAGTGTTGGTGGGAGTGGTTTTAGAGGTTCTTTGGTTGGGCTGTTTACTGTAGGCTCTTTGACAGTTTCTTGATTGGGGTATTGTTTACTTGATTGTTGGTCTGAAGTTAACCTTGGAGTTAATCTATGCCAGTGGTTCTCAATCTGTGGGTCAGGACCCCATTTGGGGTCAAACGACCATTTCACGGGGATCGCCAAACAACGCAGTCCGCCATTTTTTCCCCTTTTCCTTAGCTGTGCTACTCCCTTTTATTCTATTGGCTTTTGAAAGCCAATAGAATAGACTCTCTTGAATAGAGTCTAATTCTATTGGCTTTCAAAAGCCAATAGGAATTGTCCAGGCTGTCTCTGCCCTGCTGAGCCTGCCAAAAGTCCCATTCTGCAAATGGTGCTGCACCAGTTGAGTAGTCCTCGACTTACGACCGGTTGGGGGGGGTCGTGGCATTAAAAAGGTTGAGAACCACTGATCTATGCTAATCTGGGTACTGATTGTTGGTGGCAAAGTGCTTAGGTTTTTTTGTTCAGTATAAAAAGTGGAAAGAGGGGCATGTAACTAAGACAGAATATCAGCAAATAGCCCAAGCCCACAAAGATGATGTTCAAAACGAACAAAAGCTTGCGACAAAAGTCAAAAATAACAAAAAGAGCTTCTTTCAACATGTAAAAAACAAGAAAAAAGTTAAGGAAATGATTAGTCCTTTAGTGGGAGAAAGTGGCAAGAAGGTGACAAGCAACAGGGAGAAAGCAGATCTACTTAACTTGTTTTTTGTATCCAACAGTCCAACCTATCAAAAACAGTACTGTAAAAAACAGATTAGAAACACAAGTTAAGATAGGCAAGAAAATGGTAAATGAGCATCTGTCCACCCTAGACAAGTTCAAATCACCAGGACCAGCTGGATTACACCTTAAGGTTCTGAAGGAACTGGTAGTTGTGATCTCAGAACCACTGAATTATATCTTTCAAAGATCCTGGAGCACTGGGGAACTACCAGAGGACTGGAAAAGAGCTGATGTAGTTCCCATCTTCAAAAAAGGGAAAAAAATGGATCCATGAAATTACAGACCTATCAGCCTGACCTCAATACCTGGGAAGATTCTGGAAAAAATAATCAAGTAACAAATCAGTGAATACCTAGAGGCAAATAAAGTCATTACCAAAAGCCAACATGGGTTTGTCAAAAACAATTCATACTAGACAAAACTTATTGTACTTTTGACCAAGTGACAAAATTAGTGGACCAGAGGAATGCTGTGGATATAATTTACTTGGACTTCAGTAAGGCATTTGATAAAGTAGACCATAACCTACTACTTGATAAGATAGAAAATTGTGGATTAGATAGCATCACCTCCAGATAGATTCATACCTGGCTGACTGGCCATACTCAGTGTTTGGTCCTCTATGGAACTACATGGAGGGAAGTGTGCAGTGGGTGCCCCAGGGCTCTGTTCTGGGCCCACCTTCATCAATTATTTGGATAAGGGGATAGATAGGGAACTCAGCAAATTTGCAGTTGATACCAACCAGGCAGGAATAGCCAACACTCCAGAAGACAGGCTTAAGATACAAAAAGATCTTGACAGACTTGAACATTGGGCGCAATCTAACAAAATGAAATTCAGTGGTGAAAAAAGTAAGATTCTAT